TTACAGGAGGTTTATATACTGTAGGTATCATATAGGAATCAGTCAGCAAACATAAAGGCTATGTATGAAGCATATGCAAAGTCTATTAGTAAGTAGGATGGATCACAAATAATGAACACCAGAAATGAAATGTATGTACATGATCAATAATCAAAAGGGAAACATGGTTAACTGGAGTCCTGGAGACAGGGGCAGTCTAAATGGGGTTGGGGCACTGATATAGGGTTTGGATTCTGGAAGGGAGATAAAGATAGATCAGATCATTTGAGATCCAGATCTCGGATCCGGATATCCGGAGAAGCGGATTTAGAGTTGAGAGTCCGGAATGGCATATGACAGGGCGATAGTTTGTGGGGTAGTTGAAGGAGGTGATGGTAGCGTGAGGCATTGACAGTCTTCCCTAATGTCCAATGGGGTCTGTTTTCATCATCTGAGTTGGATGACTCGGTTATTGAGGAGTATGATTGGCTTTGTCGATGTTTTGATCTCAGCTTTGGAGTTGAGCTCAATGATCTTCCTTCAAATTGACTTGGTCATCCTGATTGAAAAAATTGGGATTCAAATGGTTCAGTGATTTCCTCTATGTACTCATGGCCTTCAGCTTCTCTCTCGCTTTGAGTAAATATAGCTGGGCATAGGGTAACTCCCATGGGAGCTGAGGTAGGAGGTGTAGTTGAACCTCTGAGACCAGACATCATGACTGTGATTCATGACTCGGGGATATTGCAGAATTCATCTGCTATGAGAGTTCTATGTCTGAGGTGGTTAGAGGAGCAGGTCAGGGCTCATAACCTGATAAAAACCTAAGTACAGGTTTGATTAGTCCCTCAGTCTTGGATAGATGACTGTATTGTGAGTATACCTAAGTACAGGTTTGATTAGCCCTACAGTAGGTCAGCATAAGTACTATGAGTAAGAATGAGTGTACATACCTCAGTCTTGGATAGATGACTGAGGGAAAGGCAACAATGAGTGTATGCACATTAAGTGAGTGTGTTGGAATTATCCAGAATACTATATATGGTAAGTAGGAAAGAATGATGGTAGGATATCTCATGGACTATATCCAACACAATTGACCCTCTGAGCTAGATCCAGTTCATGAGCATGTGGGTCATGGGGGTTGTAGTGGGGCACCTTGCTATAGGTACTGATGAGTTGTTGTGTGCTGAGGTTGATGACATGTGCTAAACAACTGTTGGGGTTGTTAGCAGTTCCATCAACCAAATTGAAAAGACTTACTTTATCTTGTGTTGATGCCACAGGAAATCTTTGTGGTACTTCACCTCATACAACTTTGAGAATTCCTGCAGCATGGTACCATTGTTTGCTGCATTGTCACATGTGACATGGCCAATCTAGGTTGAGATATAAGTGCAGGTGGTGATTTTACTGACTTTGTATGTGACACCAACACAATAAAGCACCTTGAATAATGCACCACCTAGGCACTGTGTTACAATCAATGTATGCCCCTATTCTTTTGTTTCTCTTATCTCATGTTGTATTACATCATGATCGCTACTTGCTATCATTAAATAATCTTATCTTGTTATCTCTTTACTTACCACTTTTGGATTCTGCCACATTCATCCTTATTAGGCATTTGCTTATATCATTACTTACTCATGCCTGCCCTAAACTCTCTTAGCTATTCACTATAAATAGGTGACTCTATATGTTGTAGTTCTGTCATATCCCACAATCCGGACCCACATTCCATCATATTCCCACGCCTTCCAAGCCTATGTCCAGACCACACCCCATATCTGACTCATTTCCAGATTCCCTTCCGCTGTGCTCCACACCTCAGCAGGATCAATTATGCTCCGGATTTACCCCTGAGCTCCAGACCATTGGATCTCCACTGCTAGCCTGATCCATACCCCCCTGTCCCATCCACCCTATGTACACTCCATCCAGCAAGACATTCGGACTTCACCTTGTCTTGGATTCCGGACTCTATCCACCTTCTCATATCCCAGTCCTGTATCCACCTTGTCTTCCAGATCCCCAGATCTCTGGACCTCTGGATATTAACTCCGGACCTATTCCCACCCTCTGTCCGATATCCTGCGCCTATCCCCATTTAGGCATTCTCTGCCTTCTGGCTTTCGGTTACCTCTTGTTCTGTCTTGCTTATTGATCCTTGTACAAGTCCTCATCTCCAAGTTCATTTACTTATGTTCCGACTTACTTACTAATGTGTTTCCACATGCTCATACATAGCCTTGCTCCTTTGCTTACTGATCCCCTCAGATATTGTTCAGTATATAACCCCTGTAGATACTCCTGTAGTTCCTCAGTTTGAATATCAACTTAGACTTGCCCAATCCTCTCTCGGACTTTGGTCCACCTAAGTCTGTCCTACTCATCAGGCCTAGGGATTGATTCCCTAGGCTGGAGCTCCACCTTTCTGGCACTTACCCTCTTTCCGGACTTTGGTCCACTTCCTGTCTCTCTGACTCTACCTTAGGGTAGTCTACCTCTGTTTGTTTCTACATCGGACTTCATCCGATGTAGCCCCTATTCCTTCCAGACCTCGGACCTCCTGTCCCTCATACCTCCAGGCATCCTGTCCTTCGGACGTTCCATCCTCCTAACCCTCAGATGTCCTATCCTCTATACCTTTGGACATCCTGCCCTCTGTACCTTTGGACATCCTGTCCATCTGTCCTCCTGTCCTCCTGTCCTCCTGTCCTCCTGTCCTCCTGTCCTCCAGACCTTTGGACCTCCTATCCTTCCATCCTGTTTCCTGTAGAAGTATTACCTTGCAGTGGGAACTCTCCTGAGCACTTCCTGTGTTCCTCTGGAACTCTCCCGCACTCCTCCGGACATTTCCTGCGCTCCTCCGGAAGTCCTCCGGACTTTGTTGGACCATCATCGGACCTCATATGAAATGAAGGGCACATACTCGGGTAAGGGGCACAGCATATGAGCTGAGGCCAAGCCCCTCTGAGTCAGTCTCTCTCCTTTGAGCAATATGGTTCTTAACAAGTTCTTTACTTGAATCTTACTAGGTTTTACCTGATCTTTTGCTAAGGACCTTCAATCCTTGGTCGTCTAAGCTGATATTCTGATGGCAAGCACTCCTTGTTGTTAGTCTTAGACCTTCTCTCTTTTGAGAATGTGAACTCAGTCTCTGAACGTTCTCTTTTGAACTTTGACTGTTTCAAACCATCCTAGTTTGTAACACACTGGCCATTATGGGCATTATTGAGCTGAGTAAAGCCAAGTAATGTGTTCCCAGGTACCCATTGCATCAGATCATTTTCTTTGATCCAGTGGCCTATGTAAATAATAGTAGAAGAACTTCAGCACAACTCTGTGTCACATTGCATTGTATTCTTTCAACATGGCTCCCAGTGATTGGTCTTGGTTTGAATTTGATTCAACAAAGGGTGTCATGTATGGGAATGATGCCTTGGATAAAGCAGCCTGGTGCTGAGCCTGTCAAGATGCAACAATCAAATCTGTTGAAGAAGAAGATCAGCTTGCAAAGATAGCAGGAGAAATGACTCATGTCCGCACCAAAGATAAACTTTGGTTGCTTTGTACATACAATTATACATGCTCCATCTTCAACTTGAATAGTACTGACAATTTTCATAAGCAAGAGGATCTGTCAAGCCTATTGCAGGCAAACCAGTAGTACTAATGAAAGCTCACCTAAAGATCTGTCCTCTCATTCACAAGGAAATCAAGCAAAAAGTTATTAGCAAGACAATTGTACCAAAGAAGAACATAGCCCAGGCTCTGCAGAATGACCCATTAAGAAGCTTAGACTCTTGAAATCCTCATCAGCTGGGTCACTTTTTGCATGGGACAAAAAATGACAAGAATTTGCATCTGACCTTTGTCTGACTTTTATCTTGTGCAATTTTTCTTGGCAGTCAGCCAATAACCCACAGCTCTGTGGTTTCTTTGTGAAATGGCTTCCTGATGTGAAGGTGCTGGACTGGAGAGTCTTGTCAGGTTGAGTACTTGATGCTGAAGTTGCAAAAGTGGAGGCTTCTTTGAAGGAAACAGTGGAAGGGAAGATGGCAACTGGACAGTGTGATGGTTGGAAAAATATATTGAAGAAGGCTATTATCAGATTGATGATCACTGTCAAAAATATGGTGAGAATATGCTATTCTTATGAAATCTTCAAGTCATATCTTCTCTGTGCTCATGATGTGACTGGCAATCACAAGACAGCAGACCACCCATTAGAACTTGTCAAGGCTGACATCCAGTACTGTCTTGAACAACTTAGTATTGAAATCATTGCATGGTGCTCAGATGTGGGAGGTGACTCATGAGCCATGTGATAGCACTTGCATAGGATCATGTCAGAATTGATAGTACTTGACTGTTGGGCATATCAGGTAAGTGATCCCATCATAGAAAACCAGGAAAAGATACTCACAATGTGCATGTCAGATCAATCTCATTGTTGGAGACTATTTCAAGATGAAAGGCACAAAGTTTGTTGAGATGGTGGCAGTGGCTGCTGAAATCACAAAATAGTTGAATAACCACAGTGTTGCCTGTGGGATATTTGACCAGGAACAATGTGAAACAAACAAGGGGAAAGTTCTCACACTGATCTTACCTATCATCACCCAGTGGATATCTTATTTTATGTCCTTCAGTTGTCTCCTTGCCATGAAGACCCCCCTGGTGTGTTGCATGATAAAAAAATGTGCAGAGTTGATAAAGGCAGGAGGGGATAAGCAAGAGCAATGAGAAAAAGCCAAGAAGATCCTAAATACTGCAAAAGATCCTGAAACATGGCAAAATTTGACAATATGAGTAAGTTATTGATGTGTTAATTTCTGCAGCCTGATAGAACATGCAGCTGTCTCACTAGGGTGACCAATGATATACAACCCCTTGCTATTGCTGCAAATATCACTCAAGCTGACAGCACAACACTGGACTGTGTTGCATTGACTCTTGGCAAGCTTTATGAGACTTACCTTTATCCTGATTTTGAGCCCAATGTTCATACTTGCATGCACAAAAGCCTTGAAACCTGCTGGAAAAAGACAGATCAAGATGCACTTATTGTTGCAATTGTTGTGAATCCATATGTGTGCAACAGTGCATTTGACACTACTCATGTTGCACTCACCCCAAATGGGCTGTATGCTGCCATGAAGTGGCTGTATAAGCAGTTCCACAAAGGTGCAGAGCCTGATTGTGGCTTTTTGTCATATCCCATATGCCAGACATAGATCCCATCATATTCCCACGCTTTCCGGACCTGTTTCTGGACCCCATATCCAACTCATTCCTGGATCCCCTATCCTGTCCACCCTACGCACATTCCATCCAGCAAGACATCTGGACTTTACCTCCTCTCGGATTCCAGACTACATCCACCACCTCACATATCTCAGTCCTGTTTCCACTCTGCCTTCCAGAGCCCCAGATCTCCGGACCTCCGGATATTAACTGTTACTATCTCCGGACCTATTCCTGCCCTCTATCCGAGATCCCTGCGCCTATCCCCATTTAGGCATCTCTGCCTTTCCGGTTCTCAGTTATCTTTCTTTCCATCTTGCTGATTGATCCTTGTACTAGTTTCATCTCCGAGTTCATTTACTTATGTTCCATCTTACTTACCAATGTGTTTCCGCATGCTCGTACATAGCCTTACTCCTTTGCTTACTGATCCTCTCAGATAGCCTCTAGTATATAATTCCTGTACAACTACAGTAGAGTCCTCAGTCTGAATATCACCTTAGATCTGCCCAATCATCTTCTGGACTTCAGTCCATCTGAGTCTTGTCCTTTTCCGTAAGGCCTAGGGAAGGATTCCCTAGGCTGGAATTCCGGACCTCCGGATTTGTCCCCTATGTCTCTGTCCCAAGTCTAGGGATTGCTTCCCTAGGCTGGAGTCTTGCCTTTCTGGCACTAACCCTCTTTCTGGACTTAGGTCCACTTCCTGTCCCTCCGACTCTACCTTAGGGTAGTCTACCTCTGTTTGCTTCTACATTGGACTTCGCCTGATGTAGCCCCTATTCCTTCCGGACCTCCGGACCTCCTGTCCTCTGTACCTCTGGACGTCCTGGTATCCTGTCCTTCGGACATTCCGCCCTCTGTCCTTCGGACATTCCGTCCTCCATACCTCTGGACCTCCTGTCCTCTAGACTCCGGACCTCCAGACCTCCTATCCATCCATCCTGTTTTCCTGTAGAAGTATTACCTTGCAGCAGGAACTCTCCTGAGCATTTCCTGCATCCCTCCAGAACTCTCCCACGCTCCTCCGGAAGTCCTCCTGCACTCTCCACCAGAGTAGCCAGCCTCCGGAAGTCCTCTGGACTTCATCGGACCATCATCGGACTTCCTCTGAAATGAAGGGCACATACTTGGGTAAGGGGCACAGCGTATGAGCTGAGGCCAAGCCCCTCTGAGTCAGTCTCTCTCTCCTTTGAGCATGGTTCTTAACACTTTTTCAATGCATTTCTTGACTATCTGGACTGGAGTACTGAGTTCTTAGATGAACACATGCACCTGAAGGAATTCAAAGATCATGCAAGAGCTGAGGTGAGAGCAAGCTTGAGTTTCATATGTCCAAAGCTCATTGTCATTACCAGAATGGTCAAATCAAGCTCATCAAGGTTTGGAAAGGAATCAATTGACAAACCAACACTGGTCACAACAGCTTTGTCAAATTTGCAATATGTCTACTCTCAGTTATTGCCAATGCAGCAGCATGCAAGCACCTTTTTAGTCAGTTTGGAATGAACCACACAAAGCTCCATAACCACCTTATACTCAACAAAGTACAAAAGACATCTGTTGTCACAACGGACATCCAGTGCTCAAACACTGCAAATGGCTTGGTATCACATTGCAAGAAGTGACAATTTGGTGCTTCTCTTGATGAAAATGAACCACTCTCCCTGGACGATTGTATACCAGAAGTAGAGGAACTTGACTGCAGATGAAGATGAAATTGTAGATTTCTCCAACAGTATCAATACACTTTTGCAAAATGTTGAGGATGACTGCAATACTGTTATTCAAGGTCACACAAGTGCCACTCGCACTGAGGCCTTTTTTGGCACATATAAACCAATTCCCCTCAAAGATCTTTTTACATACAGTGGCTCAAAAAACTGTCCGCATGTTTTGACATTTTTCACTATCTATGATATTGTGTGAGAATGAACAAATGCCTCAAGGACATGGTTATACCACATTGTAGTATGGCTTCAGGGCTTTCATTTGAGCCCTACACCGTGGGAATCGGTGGAGATATGGTGGAGATACAAGGCTCACAAAATGGTGACTCATGCAGACAGTTTTTTGACTCAAGTATTTTACAATAATAACCAGGTATTCTAGTATTTTGTATGACCTCCCTTGGCTTTAATTACTGCCTCTATCCTTCTAGGCATACTCTCAATTAATTTCTGGCAATCCTCAGCTGTGATCTTCCCCCATTCCACTGCTACTCTCTCCCAAAGCTCCCATACTCCTTTAGGGGGGTTTTCATAGGCTTGAAGCTTTTTCTTGAGTGTTCCCCAGAGATGTTCAATGACATTGACATCAGGAGACTGTGCTGGCCAGTCAAGAACATTGATGTTATGTCCTTCAAACCATTCCTTAGCTCTTCTGGATGTATGCTTGGGATCATTATCCTGTTGGAAAATGATATCTTCTTCATCAATCCCTGATTCTGCCAAGCTAGGCAGCAAGTGGTCATTTAAAATGTCCACATACTGCTCAGCATTCATCTTCCCCTCAACCTCAGCAAGCATTCCCACACCATTCCATCCCATACAGCCCCATACCATTAAAGAACCTCCTCCAAACTTGACAGTCCCATTAACCTCTCTGTCTGTTAGGCCATCTCTCTTCTTTTTCCATACATATACCTTCCCATCTGACCCAATCCTATTGATTTTGGTCTCATCTGACCATATAACATGCTTCCAGTCCTCTACAGTCCAGTGTTGATGAGCTAAGGCAAAGGCTAGTCTTCTCTGCCTATGTTTGATGGAGAGAAGAGGCTTTTTCTTCTTTGTTACTGCCTTGAGATGAGCTGCCTTGAGATCATTCCTCACAGTTTGTGAAGAGACAGGGGTAGTGATGGTGGAATTGATATAATGGGTGGCTTGGACAGCATTATCAGCCTTTCCTGTAGTGATATGTTGGATAATAGCCCTTTTGTCAGTAGAGGTAAGCTTGGATGGACGTCCTCCACAAGAGTTTTCCTTGTCTGGATGGCTTTCTTTGATAAACTTGGCCACAGTGCACTTGCATACTCCAGTTCTAGAGGAAATTTGGCAAGCAGAGAGGCCAGCATAAGACAGAGAGAGAATATTATCTCTTTGAGCAGAGGAGATGGCTTTCATGGTGATTATGACTATGATACATGAGATATTCTGGTTTATATAGTTAGATATAGTCATAAAATAACATAATGACACCACTTCATAATTTATATAATAGTGGCATGATTTTTGTGGTGTCATAAATAATGATTTATATAGTTTTAATATACACTCAAAAAACTGTCCACATGAGTCATCATTTTATAAGCCTTACGTCTCCACCATATCTCCACCGATTCCCACGGTGTAGGGCTCAAATGAAAGCCCTGAAGCCATACTACAATGTGGTATAACCATGTCCTTGAGGCATTTGTTCATTCTCACACAATATCATAGATAGTGAAAAATGTCAAAACATGCGGACAGTTTTTTGAGCCACTGTATTTACTCTGCAACATTCCCTTCAAAGTCATCAAAACCAAAGGTCATTGGGCAAGTGACACTTTCCAATTGTACCTGTGAAAGCATGCCCAAATTTTGGCACCCTACATGCAAGCTGTTGTGGGAAACACAACAAGAAGAGAACTGGAAAGTAGACTTCTAATGTTGGGCTAAATGTGCTATGCCTAGCTGCTATTCAACCCTAAAGGGTTTCTGGACTAGACTCAGTGCTCAGAGAGAGTAGGAAATCATGCTAAAAACTCTCAGTCTCAGACTGGTACTGGTAGGTGGTGAAACTATAATGATTACATAACACTAAGTAATATCTGCCTATACAAGCCCACAGTAAATGAAATCCCTACAGTGCCTTGGTACCATTTTTAGCCACTGTCAGTGCAAAGGCCCCTGTGGTTGTGTATGGCTTTGGCCCACCCCATATGCTGTTCATTGTACCTTTCCAAGTATTCCTAGAGGATTCAGAAAAATAAGTGGTTATTGACCCATTTAGATAGAGGGCCAATGCCTTTGCTATGGAGGATGTCAGCTCCTGCATCAGCAATGCCCCCATATGATCTGGCTGCTGAAGAGCAGCTGAAACAGAAACTTGTGTTGATGGTGAAACAGTCTTTGCTTGTATGAATCATGAGGCCAGGGTATTGTGAGGGATGTAAGGGAACAGTCCTGTAAGCTTTTGCCATGTCATGGGTTACTCCTTGGGAGCCTGGAGGTAAGCGCCAGACAAGGAGGCAGATGGTAGAGAAAGTACTGTAAGTGCAAGGGTACAGGTTTGAGTCAATAGAAGAATTAATAGATGCAATAGGGTAAGTGAGAGACAAGGAACTATGGGGCAGGTTCTGAATGAGGCGATATCTTCCTGGTTTTCCTGGCTTGGGAATGATGGACAATGATGCAGTCTGAAATGGGCCAATGAGGGCTTCTACTTCAGTCTTTGAGAGAGGGCCCAGGTATCTGCCAGAGCTGAATTCTCATTTAAGGATAGTAGCAAATGCATTAGCATGCTCATTGATAGACAGATTATTGGGGGGGGGGGGGGTGTACTGTGGAGGTAATGGGAGGAATGATACCAAGGAAACCATATTGTAAAGAGTATGGAACATGTGAATAAGTATGTATGAGTCCATGAGTCAGCCAAAAACAAAAGATTTAATCAGTAGTATAGCTTTGCCCTAACAATGGTTCATGAATGGATTACATGCACTGTCAGATATATACTCACTGTTGCTCCATCCTGTGTTATTCGTGAACATAGTAAAGGCATCTTTGGTGGATACTTTGTTGTCACCAGAACAGATGAGCAGAGCAATGATGGTGGCTATAGTGGTACCAACTGTTGAAAGAAAATGGGATCCGGAAGTTCATCTACACCTTGTAAACCAATACTTGCCATTGACAATCACATAAAACAGATTTAAGTGGGCCAATACGTTTGTAGCAGCAGAGCACACCAGGCCATGGGTGAATAGAATGACAAGTAAGATGCTGTATGTGGCACCAAAGTGCTACCAGGTATCTGCATGGTATGGTGTGAGTGCATTAAGCCTCCTGGCCTTGAGGACACTTCTGAGCCCCATGATCTGCACTTCTGTAGCCAGAACACTTATGATGTGGTCCTTGCTTGCACTCAGGCAGCCATTGGGATGTTGCCAGTCGTAGCAGAGCTGGAGGCTGAGGGTGTTGATGAGCCAGCCCTCTGGGCTCCTGCGACAAGAGGTGGGGGTCTTGTTGTCCCACAAAAGCTCACTCTTGCACTTGTGAATGTTGTGAGCAAAGTGGCCAAGGCATAGAGTGCAAGCATGGTGGCTGGTTGATGTTGTACTGCTCTGAAAAGACTGTTTATCCTGGCCATTATGTTTGGGTTCTTGCCAGGGACAGTTGCAGCTGGGAGACTGCACTCAGGGTGGGAGGCATCCTGAGGGATTTCAAAGTGGGGAGTGAGAATGAGGGTGTGTTGGGCGAGTCTCAGCCTGGGTATGGTTACACTGGGATGGAGTCTCCCATGCTTGATGGTGTGATGACATAGCCAGCTGGAGCTGGGGTTCAGGGAAGCATTGGGTTAGAGGAAGAGGTTGATGAGATAGGGAAGGCAGCAGTGGAAGTGGTGCTGAGCACATAATGGTAGTGGGAGTGGTTATGAGTCAGAAGTGGGAAGCAGCAGTGAGTTTGAGCATGGAAGTGGTAGCAACAAGTAAAGGGAAACATAATAATGCAATTAGTTATGTTTGGAATCAAGTTAGTGAAGGGTATGAACCTCTGTCAGACTTTCAAGTCTCATTTTGTTCCAGACTTCCTTGGCGAGGTTTTTCAACAATGTGAAGTTGAAGATGCTAATGTTGAATGTGTTGTCCAGAGTGAGGGTGTCATACCAGTCACATCAAACACGGACAGCATAAAGGAGCAGGGTGTGTTCACCGAACAGTTCAGCCTGCTGTGGGTTAGAGATGATGTTCATAAAGAACATAGTGAGAGCATGCTGGTGCTTCTCTGGCCAGTTGAGTTTATTGATGTATACTAGGAAACTGTTCTTTGCCATGTTGAACTGGTGCCATTCAAGACCATGGTCTTGGATGACCTTGTGGGATGGCCTGAATGAGGCTATGGTCTTTAGGGTGATGAAGTTGTCAACCTTTGTGAAGCCGAAGGTACTGTCAGCTGAGGACTTAACTTCATTGGCTGCCTCTCTGCACTCATCAGGGCTGAAATACCACAGTTTGATGTACTTGACCGACTTGAGTTTGTGGATTGCATATTGGGATGGCCAGTGAGTGAGAGTATCACTGACCAAGGCACCTGTTTTGAAGTTGTTGATCATTGGCTTCTTTTTCACTTCATGGCACTCATTCTCTACCTCTTGCTCTAGGAGGAGTTGTTCTTGCTTGCAACATTCTTGTTTGGTATGTGCTGCCTCTGCTGCAAGGTGAGTTTCTTCATTGACTTGTGTGTTCCAAGCTGCAAGTTAGATGTCTTGGTCTTGCTGTTAACCTGTAGTGAGTTCATTGGCTACTTCTTCATGAGTTGCCTGCATATTTCCTATGATGCGGTCTCTTATGCCTTGGAAGGTTGCAGATACAAAATCAGGGGCAATGTCCAGTGCTGGGTCTGATGTGATGCAAACCATAGTCAGTAAATATTTTAAGAGAGTGAGAGATTTAATTAATGTAGCTTAGGGGATGGATAGTATGGATAGAAGGAGAGAAAAGAAAAGAGCTTGATGGGCAGCTTGACAAGTACTTTGCTAGTGGAGGAGTGGAAACAAGAACCAATGGCTTCTTCCGTCAGCCAAAGACCAAACTCTAAGACTTTGCTCATACCTCACTTCATCATAGAGTGATAATACATGAGCTGTGTCATATGCCATTCCGGACTCTCAACTCTAAATCCACTTCTCCAGATATCCAGATCTCAAATGATCTGATCTATCTTTATCTCCCTTCCAGAATCCAAACCCTATATCAGCGCCCAACACCGTTTAGACTGCCCCTGTCTCCAGACTCCAGTTAACCATGTTTCCCTTTTGATTATTGATCCATTACATACATTTCATTTCTGGTGTTCATTATTTGTGATCCGTCCTACTTACTAATAGACTCTGCATATGCTTTGTACATAGCCTTTATGTTTGCTGACTGATTTCTATATGATACCTACAGTATATAAACCTCCTGTAACTCTCAGAAATACTCCAGTTCAAATATCATCTTAGTTCCTGCTCATTCCTGTGTCCTCTGGACTCGAGATAAGTCTCTTGTCATATTCCGAGTCTTAGGATTGCATCCTAGACTACATTTCTGACTCTACCTCAGGGTAGTCCATCCTCTGTTAGTTTCTAGTCCAGACTTCGTCCAGATTAGTCTTATCTGCTTGCCCAGGTAATATCCAGACGTCCGTTATCCGCCCTAGTCAAAACCCAGAAACTCCAGACGACTGTTCTAGCCCCCAGAAATTAAGGGCACATACTCAGGAAAGGGGCACAGCGTATGAGCTGAGGCCAAGCCCTTGTGATCCGACCCCCTTGAGCATGCAACCTTAACAAGCTGAGGCCAAGCCCTTCAGATCCATAACCCTTTTGAGTATGACCTTAACAAGAGAACTTAGGTCCAGAGGGTGGAATGAGCAGAACTAATATGATATTCAAACTGAGGTGTTATAGAGATGTACAGGAGGTTATATACTCTAGGTACCTAATGGAATAGTCAGTAAGCAGAGTCTGAGGTTATGTATGAAGCATATGGAAAGTCTATCGGTAAGTAAAGGAAATGAAATTGGAAATAAAACATAGGTAGTGGATCAGTAATCAGAGTAGAAGAGTATATAACTGGATAACCAGAACAGGGGGAAGTCTAAATGGAGATGGGCACTGGTTCTGAGTTTGGAAATGAAGTATAGATGCAGGATGGAGATTAGGTGTGGATATGATCTAAGATCTGGATCTTTGGATCTGGACATGTGAAATATGACACAGACACTTTGTTGAGCCACTGTATGTATCCAAAGAAATGGTATCAAATAAGTTGGCAATACAAATAAACAGTTTTGGATTAGTAACCAAGACACAGCAAGCAGGTAGTGCTAGGTACCTGAAACACAGCCCTTTTGCCAAGCATTCTATGCAAATCTATTACATTCTATAATTTTCTTTGTCAAGTATTCTATAACCTTCCAAATTATTCTATGGCTCTTTCTCAATAATTCTAACACATTCCAGAATATTCTATAGTATATTAATAATCAGTAGTGTAGTCACTAGTCTAGTAGTATATAAGGGGCTCATTTTCCCCTCTTGTGAAGCAATCAATTTCATTCCCAAGTATCAATCATCCAATCAGAGTGAGACAAAGTTTAGGGGAATCAAAGGGGGATTAGTGCATACACTCCTAAGTTACTTTATCCCTATTATTTAAGTGAACAAATAAGTGACAACTAGGAGAAATATTAGCTTATTTATAACATTCTTTTACAACATTCTTCACACATTATCCAGAAGTATTTGAGGTTACATACTTAAGCCACACTTGAGCCATACTTGATTACATAAGTAGTATGCATTCTAGTTCTCTTTTAGACACAGGAAAGTTCTGTGAGGAGAATCACACATATTATTCATCAATTAGGGAAGACAAATAAGACTTACAATCTGTCGATGAATATTAAGGCTTGGTCACTTAAGACTACATCAAAGGGTGTACTCTGTTCTGGTCTGCATCATACTGTTAAGAACTGTTTTGCTCAAGGAAGAGAGAGACTGACTCAGAGGGGCTTGGCCTCAGCTCGTATGCTGTGCCCCTTACCCAAGTATGTGCCCTTCATTTCAGATGAAGTCAGATGATGGTCTAATGAAGTCTGAAGGACTTCCAGAGGCTGGCTACTCTGGTAAAGTGTGGGAGGACTTCTGGAGAAGCACAGGAAATATCCAGAGGAGTACAGGAAATACTTGAAGGAGTTCTCACTGCACAGGAAATGAAGAGACCCCAAGGTAATACCTCTAGAGGAAACAGGATGGAAGGATAGGAGGTCCAGAAGTATGAAGGATAGGAGAACTGAAGGTCTGGAGGTCTGGAGGACAGGAGGTCTGGAGGTCTGAAGGAATAGGGGCTATATTGGATGAAGTCTGATATAGAAGCAAACAGAGGTAGACTACCCTTAGGTAGAGTTAGAAAGACAGGAAGTGGACCAAAGTCTGGAGAGAGGGTAAGTGCCAAAAAGGCAAGACTCCAGCCTAGGGAAGCAATCCCTAGACTTGGGGACAGAGACATAGGGGACAAATCCAAAGATCTGGATTTCTGGCCTAGGGAATTCATCCCTAGGCCTTATGGAAAAGGACAAACTCAGATGGACTGAAGCCTGGAAGAAGATTGGGCAAGTCTAAGTTAAGAGAACAGGAACTAAGATGATATTCTGACTGAGAACTCTACTGGAGTTGTACAGAGGTTATATACTAGAGGATATCTGAGAGGATCAGTAAGCAAAGGAGTAATGCTATGTATGAGCATGTGGAAACACATTAGTAAGTGAGACAGAACATAAGTAAATGAACTCAGAGATGAATCTAGTACAAGGATCAATTAGCAAGATGGAAACAGAGATAACCAAGAACTGGAAAGACAAAGATGCCTAAATGGGGATAGGTGCAGGATCTTAGATGGAGAGTGAGAATAGGTCCAGAGATAGTTACAGTTAATATCCAGAGGTCTGGAGATCCAGGGATCTAGAAGGCAAGGTGAAAACAGGACTGAGATATGTGAGGGAGTAGATGTAGTCTGGAATCCAAGAGGAGATAAAGTCTAGATGTCTTGCTGGACAGAATGTGCATATGGTAGACAGAATAGGAGTGTATGAATCAGGCTAGTAGTAAAGATCTGGAGGTCCAGAGCTCAGGGGTAAATCTGTAGTAGAGCTAATCCAGCTGAGGTGTGAGCACACAGCAGAAGGGGATCTGGGAATGAGTTGGATATAGGGTCTGGATGTAGGCTTGGAAGGTATGGGAATATTATAGGATCTAGGTCTGGCATATAGTGTAGAGACCTGTGCCTCTATATGGCCATTATAGGATGATATACTACCCCCTCTTACTCATGCTCTAGCTCTGGTCCTCAAGATAAGTCACTTGCACTATTGTGCTGTGACAGTCAAGTATTCTCCAGGCTGTGATTGGCAGTTTTTACCTACCTTTACCTACCCCCACTTTCTTTAGCTTATGTTTGCATTTTTGCAGCTGGGATCATAGCACATAAAGTCTACAATAGGACAGAGAGAGAGATTGGAGAGTTCTGGACCACAGATAAAGCATGGACAATACAGGTATGCATCTCACTTATCACTGACCTCAACTGACATTCAAATGCTATAGGACCAGCTCCCTCCAGGAGCTACAATAGCCCCAATTATAATGGCTTCAGACAAGACCCCTATCATGCGACACACAGGTGGACTCCAAATGCATCCCTTATTCCTCAAAATCAGAAATATGCAATCAGATGTTTGGATGAAGGCTACTTTACATGCCTGGGGCTGCATGGCATTCATGCTAACCCTGATATTCCTTGTTAACTCGAATTATCAAACACTCCTTCAATCATATCTGTGGCACAAATGTATGGACTTTGTGTGCACTAACCTTAGGGTAACAGCACATGTCAGGGAATTTATGGTTGATCCCTTGGCTCACTGGTGTTACTGCTTCACCTCCCTCATAAGCCACATCACAGATCTCCCTGAATAGCTCATGATCACATGTGTCACAAAGAATTCATCTCCTGTCTCAATGGCCAATCAGGCAGAATTTGGGGACACTGTGCCACACCCCACCTGCAACAGGTCAGACACATATGCACTTATATGGGAACTTTGTGATAGGATTGATCCTTGGAATCTCCATCCATTTGTTAATGAGGTAAAGAAGGTACACTTGAGCGGTGTACACCTCCCATACTGGAGGAATTGGAGGTACACAAACCCAGCAAACTTCCTCATCCCAGAGGTTCTTCACATACTCCATAAACTCTTCTTTAACCATGTCTTAAAGTGGGTTAAAGAAGTCATGGGTCTTGAGCTTGACATGTCTTTTAGGAGCTAGCATAAGCATATTGGTATATGCTACTTTGGATCAGGTGTTTCACATGTGAAGCAGATGACTGGGAGGGAATATTGAGACATCCAATGCACAATAGTCCCTACATTGTGGGGGGCTGCCCCTCCTGATTTCCTGCAAGCAGTGCATGCCATGATTGATTTCATCTATCTTGCCCAGAATCCTGTTCACATGGTAATGAGTATCCATGCTATGACCTCTGTACTGAGCGAGTTTTATGCTTTCAAGGATGTCATCATTATAGCAGAGGCATGACAAGGAAAAGGTGGGGTCAAGGAAGATTTTGACAATCTAAAACTTGAGCTTATGCAAAACTTTGCTTATGCTATTCAGCATGTCAGCTCACTCATGCAATGGTTAGCTAATATTTCTGAGCACCTCTTGATCACACACTGCAAGCATCCATTCAAGAAGATAAGTCACCAGAAGGACTTTGTCAAACAGATAGCACAGATCCTTGATTAGGAGGAGGTGATACACCTTTTCAACCTGTACACATTATTATCATCATCATCTACTATAGCCTCAAGTCAATCTACCTATGATCCACTCATCAATGCAGTTATCACAGAAGATGATGAGGTCGCTGCTACAGAAACAGATCCGGTGTTAGCATAGACATCTCATATTAACCTAGTGTAGGGATTTCATTTACTGTGGGCTTGTATAGGCAGATATTACTTAGTGTTATGTTTGTACTTTTGGTGCTTATGTAATCATCATAGTTTTTACCACTTACCAGTACCAGTCTGAGACTGAGAGTTATTAGCATGATTTCCTATCCTCTCTGAGCACTGAGCTTAGTCCAGAAACCCTTTAGGGTTGAATAGCAGCTAGGCATAGCACATTTGACCCAACTTTAGAAGGCTACTTTCCAGTTCTCTTCTTGTTGTGTTTCCCACACTGGAGGCTCAAAGACATCTGCATGGCCCACAGCCAGTGCGCAACCACTTCTTGAAGGGGATTGTGTCCAATGATGTGAAGATTACTTTCAACACTACCCTCAACCCTAATCATAAATGCTTGACTATTCCAGATCTCCAGTTGTTATGTGGCATCCACAACTTCTTGGAAATTTTTGGCACATTTCTCATAACATGTGGTCATGCAGACCTCTGTGCTTCACTCTGTCAGCTAGGTGTTTGATGTTTGGTTCAAATTGCATATTCAACTACACTCCACTTTCCAAGAATGGACCATAATGCCTAGTCAAGTTGTGCAGACTGAACCTCCATCTGAACAATTTCCTTGTGATCACTGTGATGTCATGCCTATTGGTGAGAGCAATAGGAATATATGTGCACTTCTTTTTTTTCTGTGTAAGCTGACATCTGAGTGTATCTACTCAGGCCCCTTTGTAGCTCAAATCCATGTGGTATTCATCCCTCAAAGTGCTAACATTTTTGAATCAGGTCTTTGTGCTTGTTCAGCCTTTTACTTTCATCAGAGATGATCCAGAGCCATTGACACACATGTGGGGAGTCTGGTACTCACTGAATATCAATCCTTTGCTGCCACAATATGGAGAATGACTAGCTATTATAGCACTGACATCACACATGCTGCAGAGCTGATACCCATCTATGAAGGACCATTGAGCAAGGATGTCCAGTTTAATGTGTCCCTTGAGCTTTTTGATAAATTTTTCCTAAACAACTTCACAGACAAAGAACTGTATCATGCATTAGCAGTAGCTTTAGATAGCTAGCTATAGTAGAGATTAGTAGTAGGTCAATGTGATTGTCAACACATCATGATCATTTCTTGCAGTGTGATTTAATTTTAAACACGATTAAGATTATCTTGCAGGCTGCATCACGTTACTCCAAGATCACCCAAATCTCCACCAATTGGAGTAGTCCATCACACAGGTCATAAGCATTCATAAGTGTTCATTTCATCATTTTGCAGATGTCCTCAGATGTTGCCCCTCCACACTCAAATTGGAGGCTGAGAAGGAGCCTGCCTCTTTATGTCAGTTCAAACTTTAAATGTTTTCTATGAGACATGTTCTAAATGGCTGCAGTGCATCTGAGTGTGGCAACACTTAACAAGCTGCTTTTTGTGCATTGGATTTGGTATAGATCAGGTTGTGCTCACATGTATGACAAGACCATACCTAAATTGTACAGAGGCTTATGTTTTTCATCAATAGAGATTGGGCTGAGGCTTAGCACAACAAAATCTGTATTATCACATCTAGATAACAGATTGTAGATTACTGTAGTAACTATACTTAATGCCAGCAATTTGGCACCCTCATTTTAAAACCTGTGTGGTGTACTTAGTCCACCTCTCTAGCAGGTGTGGGGTAGTCTTGATTGTATTTGTAATGAGGAGCAGCAGCTTGTCATACATATGTTTGAAGGCTGCCATAGAAAAACTGATACTTCGTCAAATACCATCATGGTGTTCTTGAAGTTGACAGAATACAGCAGCACCAGATGTTATGAGGCATGTTATTGATGAACTGCCCATATCTGGCAGTTCACATGGCATCCAAAGTGACATTCATGACACTGATATGCTCAAATGGATAATGGAATGTGAGAGTCCATGAGTTGTCATTGTCATTGGGCTGTTCCAAATCAAAAAATGACCTCAAATATAAGCAAAAACTTACCACTAATATTTCCCCATATATGAAAGTGAGCATACTCTCATCAATAAGGTCTGGAATGACCACTTTTTTGTGTGCAACCTTATCCTCTTCAAACCAGACTGACACATGAAGACCACACACCCACTGAATGACTCCACAGGCAGTATTCCCAAAGCTCAACAGTAGGTCTGTGACCAGTACTGTGATCACTTTGTATAGGATGTCCACATGCTGGATGGCCCAGCCTTGTAATGACTCTGAAAATAAATAGATCATTAGTGTGATACTATTGAATCTTTTTCAAGACTTACTGCTACACAATTTGAGTAGAGCTTGGCATGCTATAGCTTGCTTGGTAGACATTGAGGGCAAGCAACATGAATTCAATGCCTTTTGCAATACAATGTCACTAGCTGCCTTCACAACATCCTTGTGAATTGCATTTTTTGAGTCATATTTACCTTGCAGTGAGTATACAACTGACAATGTTGGCGCTGGAATAGGTATGGGCACTGTGTTAGATGATACTGGGAGCATTGATGCTGGTGCTGACGCTGTTGTAGATGTAGACGCCAGTGCCAATGTAGATGCCAGTGCTGATGTGGATGCTGATGCTGATACAGGTCATGAGGATTCTGACAAAGAAGCCACCAGTTGTGGTGATCTCACTGGTGGGAGAGGATATTTCCAGGAAATCCTCCTTTGGATGCCTGATTCTTCCACTCTCTGTTATGGTCAGCAGTGATAAGAATGTGAAAATGATAAACACTTACATGAACTATACCATCCAGAAACTCCCCATTAAGATCCTCCTGGAAGTGCATTGGCACCAGGCTATAAGCCACTTGAAATCTGGCTGGCTGGCAGCTTCAGGTATTTTGGTCTGGCCCTGCAACCATAGGATAGTCACCAGATAGCAGGGACCTCCTAGGTATGAGAATCTCACTACAGAAACTTGGAGGAAAGATGGTATTATTTATGAAAGGGTAAGTGGGGGCTTGTAGCTGTCCATAGTGATGTTGTTATTGTTGCTGGTGCTGGTATGCGAGCTGTTGCTGTTGTTGCTGGTGCTAGTGCTAGTGCTGATGCACTAGCTGTTGCTGCTGGTACTAGTGCATGAGCTGTTGCTGTTGTTGCCAGTGTGCTAGCTAGTGCTAGTGCTGCTGGTGTGCTAGATCTTTTTGCTGCTGGTACACTAGCTTTTGCTGCTGCTACTGGGCAGTGTGTTGTTCATGTTGCAGCAGCAGTGCCTTGTAGTACTGTGGCACTTGGGGTTGCAGTGGAGGTTGTGGCTGATTTTGGAAGAGGTGTTGGGGGTTTCTGAAGAGCATCTTAGTTAAGTTGATGTTGTTGTTGTATGCTATAGGTTGAGGTATGTCAGCAGTGCTACCTAGCTGTGATGTAGAAGAATTGCTGGCAATATTCAATCCAGCCTGCCAAATAACAGGCAAATTCTGTTTGAAGTAGTATTAGTGATAGTGATTCTTCAATTGGATCATGCACCTTTGTCATAGATTGTCAACTTTTGTGACATTGTGAGGGCATCACATTGTGGTGGTTGTGCAGAAGCAGATCAATTATCAATCCTTACTCATGTGCTTACAATCAATCAGTAGCTGCTCTGATAGGAACAAAGTTCAATGATTGATGAGACAGACACAGTACAAAACTGATACATAAGGAATCATAAATCAATTCAAAGGCATCATGGACACCTAATATTATTTGGGGGAAGTTCAGGAAGTTACAGAAATTGTTGGATGTTGAACAGCTTGCAAGAAAATACAACTGATGACAGAACTTGCTGAAAAAAGAACAAAGAATTTGGTGGAAAAACTTGTCACAAACCTTGAAAGAGAGCCATATGTGCAGCACAGCCTAAACATTTAACCTCCACCAGCCCTGTGTTTGTGATCACTTGCCTCATTGACTTCGGATTGATCCCTGCTATAACCAGCTGATAACAGCTTCAGAATGCCAGTGCAAAAGGCATGATCTGCAAGAGTGTCTAGATCTCTGTCCAGGTCATCCAATGCAACACACTCAGATTTGCAGGATGCATCAAGATAATCAAGATCACCTGTGACCTGATTATTGTCCCGATCAACCAGCATGTTCATGAACATTTTGACTTCTTTGGCCTTTATATTGAGGAGTTCTTTCTCCTTTGCATTGATGTATTGGTAAAGGTGCCTCAGTCATGAGGCCTTCTCTACCTCCCACTGGGACATGGCAAAATGAGCCCATTGAGTTTCATAGGCAGCTTCCTTGTAGGCAATCACATGGTGAACTCCATCTTAATCAAAGTGTTCCAAGCCATGCAAAAATACATGTTGATCCTGATTGAAAGCCTCTTAAGTTGCAGTCTGATTACCATGGTACCATCTTCAGTATCACTTGAGTTGCTGCAGTAAGGTCTGCTAAGCAACCTCATAAACTTGCATTCATCTTTGACAGAGAGTGCAGTACACCTGTAAGGTCTATATACAGGCCATGCAAGTCTCTTCTGAGCACAGAGTGGTCCAACCTGTGCTGATAGGATGCCAGGGGCCTGAAGTGATTCTCCAGAGGAAGGAGAATCATCAGAATCTAAGTGTTCATGGCACTTGCTGGGGAAAGATGGATAGTTGCTGCTGAGCAGAGAAGAGCTTCTTGGTGGCTCATTGAAAACACTGGGGCTGGGGCTTCTTCTGGGGAGGAGTAATTCTTTGACTGTGTGGACTCAGAAGCATCAAGACTGCAGTCGTCCTTTAACCATCAAAAATTTTGGAGTTTCTGGGGGAGGTCATTCTTTGACTGTCATCAGTTGGATGTATGTTGGCTTGCAGTCTTGACATTATGAAAAAAAATGGAAATATTTGCCACCTGAGTGCTTCACTTGCAGTTGTTTGATATCTAAGCTGCAGTATGTGTTCATTAAGAAGATATGCACGGTAGAGTTTGAAGGACTTAGCACATTTCATCCCATCATGGAGTACTATAGCACTGCACATCCTGTTGGACAGGTCACCCCACAGCCATTGCTGCCTGGAAACTACAACCCATTCAGTCCTGGGTTCTTTCAAGAATCTACACATACAGTAAGCAACAAAACTATTGCAATGTTTGCATGACATTGATTACTCTGGATATATCATCACAGGGATGGCAGCTATGAAAATGTGGATGAGAGCAATATTGTAGCCCTACATCCAGGCTACAATAGTTACACTACATTGTAGATGTGACAACATTTCCTTAAAAGGATATGAGCAATTTACTACATGGTATGCATTGCAACAGTTTTGTTGCTGATATTTTTCAATATCAGAATCCTACCAATAGACATCAGTTATGTTATTTAGTATGTCTTATAATGTCATGTGACATGTAAAATGGTCAACATGATATAAACAAAGCCAAATGTTGAACTTTCTCAACAATCATCATCATAAAAGCCCTCTCTGCTGACAAAACCAACCAAATCCTTTTTTACTTTGATTTTAACCAATATACAAGGGAGATCTCACATGCTACTAGTGTATACCATAGTACCATTATCAGAATTCACTCTAAACTTCATTCTGACCTTCAAAAGTCCTCTGGTGGTTGTCCTTCTGTCCTTTCCTCCCCCTATGTTTAGCATGCTATTTGGTTAATCAGTACAGACAAGGCTGAAAATGCCACTCAAGTCACAAGAGCACTTCAGGACATCAAGAACCAGCCTATGTCCTCTCAGATAACACAACATTACTTGAGGAAATCTGGTATGAAGCCTGTCACAGAGGTGGGGAGTGCTAGAATAATGCTGTCTAAAAAACTATAAGTCCATTCTCTATATTGAGCACTAGGCAACACTTGTAGCACGGAAGTGAAGCGAGTAGGTAGCGATATCTGTATGTAATGGTGCTTAAGTGCATGTGTGCATGTTTACAGCACTGTAATCAGTCCAGAAGATACATCAGAGTGATAAGAATACAATAAGAATACATGTCATATACCACAATCTGGACTCACATTCCATAATATTCCCATGCCTTCCAAGCCTACATCTGGACCCCATATCCAACTCATTGCCAGATCCCCTTCCACTGTGTGCTCCACACCTCAGTAGGATCAACTCTGCTCTGGATTTACCCCTGAGCTCTGGACCTCTGGATCCTCACTGCTAGCCTGATCTGTACCACCCTATCCTGTCCACCCTATGCACACTCCATCCAGCAAGACATCCAGACTTCACCTCATCTCAGATTCTGGACTATATCCACCTTCTCATATCCCATTCCTGTATCCACCTTGTCTTCCAGATCCCCAGATCTCCAGACCTCTGGATATTAACTCCAGACCTATTCCCACCCTCTGTCCGATATCCTGCACCTATCCCCATTTAGGCATCTCTGCCTTTCCAGCTTTTGGTTACCTCCTGTTCTGTCTTGCTGATTGATCCTTGTATGAATCTTCATCTCCAAGTTCATTTAGTTATGTTCTGTCTTACTTACTAATGTGTTTCCACATGCTCATACATAGCCTTGCTCCTTTGCTTACTGATTCTCTCAGATAGTCTCCAGTATATAACCCCTGTAGATACTCCTGTAGTTTCCTCAGTTTGAATATCAACTTAGACTTGCCCAATCCTCTCTCGGACTTTGGTCAACCTAAGTCTGTCCTACTCATCAGGCCTAGGGATTGATTCCCTAGGCCAGAGCTTTGCCTTTCCAGCACTTACCCTCTTTCCAGACTTAGGTCCAATCCCTGTTCTCTCCAACTCTACCTTAGGGTAGTCTACCTCTGTTTGCTTCTACATCAGACTTCATCCGATGTAGCCCCTATTCCTTCCGGACCTCTGGACCTCCTGTCCCTCATACCTCCAGGCATCCTGTCCTTTGGATGTTCTGTCATCCTAACCCTTGGATGTCCTATCATCCTGTCCTTCTGTCCTCCGTCATCCTGCCCTCCTGTCCTCCTGTCCTCCTGCCCTCCTGTCCTCCAGACCTTCAGACCTCCTATCATTCCATCCTGTTTCCTGTAGAAGTATTACCTTGCAGTGGGAACTCTCCTGCACTCCTCCGGACATTTCCCACGCTCCTCCAAAAGTCCTCCAGACTTCGTCGGACCATCATCAGACCTCATATGAAATGAAGGGCACATACTCGTGTAAGGGGCACAGCGTATGAGCTGAGGCCAAGCCCCTCTGAGTCAGTCTCTCTCTCCTTTGAGCAACATGGTTCTTAACAGTTCACAATAGTGTGAGTGACTTATCCTGAGGATCAGAGCTGGAGTATCAGTAGGAAGGGGTGGTATATCATCCTATAATGGCGATATAGAGGCACAATGTGAGAAACACAACAAAAGAGAACTGGAAAGTAGACTTCTAATGTTGGGCTAAATGTGCTATCCCTAGCTGCTATTCAACCCTGAAGGGTTTCTGGACTAGACTCAGTGCTCAGAGAGAGTAGGAAATCATGCTAATAACTCTCAGTCTCAGACTGGTACTGGTAGATGGTGAAAACTATGATGATTACATAAGCACCAAAAGTGCGAACATAACACTAAGTAATATCTGCCTATACAAGCCCACAGAATATGAAATCCCTACAGCAAGTCTCTACAATGTGAACCCAGCAAAGTTTCTCACTCCAGAAATTCTTCATACCCTACACAAGTTTTTCTTTGACCACGTCCTAAAGTGGGTCAAGGAAGCCATGGGACATGAGCTCAATTTACAGTTTTAGAGTCAGCATAAGTGTGTGGGTGTGCATCATTTCATGTCAGGTGTCTCACATGTCAAGCAAATGACTGGCAGAGAGCATTGTGATATCCAGCACACCATAGTACCTACAATGTGGGGAACCATAAATCCTGCATTCATTTGTGCAGTCCATGCAATGATCGATTTCATTTATCTTGCCCAAAATCCAGTTCATACTGAAGCATCAATTAAGGACATGTCAACTGTGCTCTCTGACTTTCACAATCATAAGCAGGCTATCCTCAATGCAGAGGCACAATGAGAAAAAGGTGGAGCCAAGGACAACTTTTTCATTCCCAAACTGGAGCTTATGCAGAGCTTCACTTGTGCAATCCCACAAGTTGGCTCACTCATTCAATACTCAGCAGATGTTTTGGAATGTCTTCTCATCACCCACTGCAAATATCCTTTCAAGAAGACCAGTTGACAGAAGGATTTCATTCACCAAATTACATGGATCCTTGATTGAGAGGAGATGATCTGTCTTTTCAAGCTTTACACACTATTGGCATCATCACCAGTGTCAGCCTCCAATGACCCACTTATCAACGTTATTTCCACAGAAGATGATGAAGTTGTTGGTCCAGAAATAGACCAAGCATTAACTTAGATTTCCCATGTAAATCCAGATGCACAATGACATCTACATGCCCCACACCCAGCACACAACCATTTCTTGAAAGGAATCATGTCTGATGATGCCAAAATCACATTCAATGTTACCATCAATCCTAATCACAAACACTTGACCATTCTCAAGCTTCAAGCACTATATGACATTGTTGACTTCTCACAGGCTTTCCACCACTACTTGATGGTCAACAACCACAGAGATCTCAGTATGCAGAGCAGTCTGATGCTCTTTAATGCTTGGTTCAAGTTTTGCATTCAGCTATATTCAGCTTTCCATGAGCGCACCATCATGCCCAGTCAACTGTTGCAAGCTGAACCCCTGTCCAGTGAATTCTTTTTTGGCCATTGTGATACTGTTCTTGTTCAGAATAGTAGGAGTACTGGTGCATCCATTCTTCAAACTTTCTGGTGTATCTTGACCTTGGGTTCATTTTCACAGTACCTTGTGTAGTTCAAGTCCAAGCTATGTTCCAGCCAACCACACTGCCCATCAAAGCACCTGTGCTCAATCAGGTGCTTGTGTATGTTTAACACTTCAATGTCATCAGAGACAAACCTGAGCCTATGATGGGGATATGGAGACTCATGTGGTCATTCATTCACAATGTCTTACAGCCACAGTCTAGAATGTGACATGGTTCAATGATTCCTCTCACTGACATCACTCATGGGGTGGAACTGATCCCTGTATATAATACCTTGTTGCCCAAGGAGGTCAACTTGAGCAATTCAATGGAGATTTTTGATGAATATTTTCTCAACAACTTCACTGACAAAGAATTGTACCACACATTAGCAGTAGCATTTGGTGTCTATTAGTAGTACTAGATTTAGATCAATGCATCTTATCATACCTTTCATTATTTGATCTTGAATATGATAAAGTGATCTTTGGGCATTGCAAACACTTACATGTTGCACCTGGATCTCCACCAATCAGCAGCCCGCACTACTGGGGTTGCAAGCATTCATAAGTGTCCATAATGTGCATAAGTTAAGTGTTCATTTCATCATTTTGCAGATGTGTGTCATATCCCATATGCCAGACATAGATCCTATCATATTCCCACGCTTTCCGGACCTATTTCCGGACCCCATATCCAACTCATTCCTGGATCCCCTATCCTGTCCACCCTACACACATTCTGTCCAGCAAGATATCTGGACTTTACCTCCTCTTGGATTCTGGACTACATCCACCACCTCACATATCTCAGTCCTGTTTCCACCCTGCCTTCCGGATCCCCAGATCTCTGGACCTCTGGATATTAACTGTACTATCTCCGAACCTATTCCCACCCTCTGTCCGAGATCCTGTGCCTATCCCCATTTAGGCATCTCCCCCTTTCTGGTCCTTGGTTATCTCTGTTTCCATCTTGCTGATTGATCCTTGTACTAGTTTCATCTCCGAGTTCATTTACTTATGTTCCATCTTACTTACCAATGTGTTTCCGCATGCTTGTACATAGCCTTACTCCTTTGCTTACTGATCCTCTTGGATAGCCTCTAGTATATAACCCCTGTACAACTACAGTAGAGTCCTCAGTCTGAATATCATCTTAGTTCCTGCTCTCTCATCTTAGTTCCTGTTCGTCACCTTAGATCTGCCCAACCATCTTCTGGACTTCAGTCCATCTGAGTTTGTCCTTTTCCATAAGGCCTAGGGATGGATTCCCTAGGTCGGAATTCCAGACCTTTGGATTTGTCCCCTATGTCTCTGTCCCAAGTCTAGGGATTGCTTCCCTAGGCTAGAGTCTTGCCTTTCCGGCACTTACCCTCTTTCTGGACTTAGGTCCACTTCCTGTCTCTCTGACTCTACCTAAGGGTAGTCTACCTCTGTTTGCTTCTACATTGGACAAAGTCCAATGTAGCCCCTATTCCTTCTGGACCTCTGGACCTCCTGTCCTGTGCACCTCCAGGTGTCCTGTCCTTCAGACATTCCGTCTTCCATACCTCCATGTCCTGTCCTCCATACCTCTGGACATCCTACCCTTCCATCCCATTTCCTGTAGAAGTACTACCTTGCAGTGGGAACTCTCCTGAGCACTTCCTGCACTCCTCCGGAACTCTCCTGTGCTCCTCTGGACATTTCCTGTGCTCCTTTGGACTTTGTCAGACCATCATTGGACTTCCTCTGAAATGAAGGGCACATACTCGGGTAAGGGGCACAGTATACGAGCTGAGGCCAAGCCCCTCTGAGTCGGTCTCTCTCTCCTTTGAGCATGGTTCTTAACACTTCTGGAATTTGTCAAGATCTCAAATGTTGACTGTTTTGGAGATCTCATAGATAAGCTGTAGCATGTGTTTCCCTGTATGAGGGGGCAGAGAACTCCATCACCAAAATTTTCTTGTAATGCTATCATCAGAGGAGACACATTTTTGCTGACTGCAGCAATCATGGAAGCCTCTGGTAGGTCACATATGTGAGTGATGAGTGACATAAAGATGTAACAAATGAACTTGGAAGGATCAGACATAAAGCAACCATTCTTGGCTGCCAGTTTAAGGTTGGCACAGACAAGATCAATGCACTTATGCCACAGCCGCACCTGAAGAATGAATTGATGACCAGGATGCACACGGAACTTAGCAATGGGCATGTGCACAATACAGTGCCAAGCTTGAAGTATGGCCTTGGAGCAAACATCTGAATCAAGATTACTGATAGTGATAAAGTTGGGGTACATCTCAAGCCCTCCAGTGGTTCTTGTCATGGGAGTTTTGTCAGATCCTAAGATGATTGGAACTTGTGTAGTGTCTAATGGGAGATGGTCCTATATGGAATTAATCTTTGAGTCATGGACTGAGCAGGACAAACCAACTTGAATTTTCCATGCCAAATCAGCACTCATATAATCACCATACTTGTGCTGATTCCTGACATTGGCTATATGTGGTTGAAAGGTAATATGATTGGCAAAAACTGGGTCACTGAAAAGTTGTTTGACAACCTCTAAAGCATTGCACCAAATGAGTTGGATGGGATGAGTTGTCTTGTAGCCCGTAAACTCTAGGCATGAAACTTTCCACTCTGCAAAGCATGGTAGTGTGTCCACCCAGTCTAGAAGTTGATCTTTTGAGGTGAAAGATGGTTTTGAGCAAGTGTTAAACTGTGAAGGAAGAGTCAGACCTGCCAAATAGTGCTTAGAGTCTCCTACCCATTTCAACTTCAAGAACTTGTTAATCTGAGTCTGATTCAGGTTTCCAACCAAGAACCTGGCTAGATCCCACTCTCCCTCATCATGGAAAGGATGATAAGCATTAGTCTCCTGCAGATAATTATATTGATCTTCCTGCAACCTGTCAAATAGGTTCTTGCCAACACCAAAGACATATCCAGAGCAAGGGTGACAATGGCCAGTGGCATCAGATGTCAATGAATGTGAACCTCACAATGCAGGGGGAACAGGCAATTGTTGTGGATGCACTTCATGCAGCCAACAGGTAGATTGGGAATTAAGATGCAGAACAACAGTTTTGATGGAAGGGAACTCCCCACTGCAGTTGGGACACAGCCTGGCAAAGGTATGTACACTAATAAGTATACTAAAATGAGAGCAAATGATATGCACATTTGCTTTAGGCAGTGTGCTCAGTGTCACAGTCAAGAATTTACCAAGTCTTTCAAACTCCACTTTATGCAGGCTGACTGTATTCACAGTGTATTGGTATTATCAGCTGCATTGACAGCCAGAGACACTAAGGGCAGAGAGACAAACTCTTTAGCACATAAACATAGGTGATTTTTTTCAGTCACTCCAGGACCCAGCATGCCCCCCTCACTTCCACCTTCATCTCCAACTCATCCCCCTCCATCAAGCAGTCCCCCATCATCTCCTCTATCAAGATGTTCTTCAACTCCTGGGTCACCTCTTTTCAATTCCACACATATCTCAGGCAGCTCCCCTGACACCAGACATTCTGAACTATCTACTTCACTCAAAAGCATCTCCTCAGCGGAGAAAACACTGCCACCTATGACTATGGCTTCTGCTACTAAAGGGTCAGACAGCTTATTTTATAATCTATCAGCATCTCCAGACCTTTCCCACAGTGCTCAATGTCAGCTCATATGTGACAGAATAAGCAGGAAGTTCATTCCATACCCTTCTGATCCAGCTCCACTCAAGGTTTGTTTTGCAGCTTGTGTTATAGGGCAAGAATGCAGACCACATGTATCCAGCAAATCTCTTCTCAAGGTATCATATATGTATATTATCCAGTTCCAAAGACTCATTGATATTTTACAAAGCATGCTGGACACCTAGAAAATGGCCTCAGGCAAATATGTCCTTCAATACTATACAAAGAATATCAAGCACAGCTGGCTACTTGTGAGACTGTGTGCCAGTGCATGCTGGCAACTGCATGGGAAATTGAAGAAGCTGAGCACTTCATTGTGTTCCTTTAAGCCATCCATGTCAACAACAAAGACCAGCTCAAGTTCACAGAAGACTGGTTACACAACTTTAGGAGCCTCTTTTCTGAGCATGACCATACAGAAGTTGACGATGACAGAGACTACCTTCAAGCAGTCTATGTATTAAGAACCATGCTCAAAGGAGAGAGAGACTGACTCAGAGGGGCTTGGCCTCAGCTCATATGCTGTGCCCCTTACCTGAGTATGTGCCCTTCATTTCAGAGGAAGTCCAATGATGGTCCAACAAAGTCCAGAGGACTTCCAGAGGCTGGCTACTCTGGTGGAGAGTGCAGGAGGACTTCTGGAGGAGCATGGGAAATGTCCGGAGGAGTGCAGGAGAGTTTCGGAGGAATGCAGGAAGTGCTCAGGAGAGTTCCCACTGCAAGGTAATACTTCTACAGGAAAACAGGATGGAGGGATAGGAGGTCCGGAGGACAGGAGGACAGGATGTCTGGAGGTCCAGAGTATGGAGGACAGGAGGTCTGGAGGTCTGGAGGACAGGACATGGAGGTATGGAGGACGGAACGTCTGAAGGACAGGATGCCTGGAGGTATGAGGGACAGGATGTCCAGAGGTCTGGAAGGAATAGGGGCTACATCGGACAAAGTCCAATGTAGAAGCAAACGGAGGTAGACTACCTTAAGGTAGAGTCGGAGGGACAGGAAGTGGACCTAAGTCCAGAAAGAGGGTAAGTGCCGGAAAGGCAAGACTCTAGCCTAGGGAAGCAATCCCTAGACTTGGGACAGAGACATAGGGGACAAATCCAAAGGTCTGGAATTCCGACCTAGGGAATCCATCCCTAGGCCTTATGGAAAAGGACAAACTCAGATGGACTGAAGTCTGGAAGAAGATTGGGCAAGTCTAAGGTGATATTCAGACTGAGGACTCTACTGTAGTTGTACAGGGGTTATATACTAGAGGCTATCCAAGAGGATCAGTAAGCAAAGGAGTAAGGCTATGTATGAGCATGTGGAAACACATTGGTAAGTAAGATAGAACATAAGTAAATGAACTTGGAGATGAAACTAGTACAAGGATCAATCAGCAAGATGGAAACAGAGATAACTGAGAACCAGAAAGGCGGAGATGCCTAAATGGGGATAGGTGCAGGATCTCGGATAGAGGGTGGGAATAGGTCCGGAGATCTGGAGATCTGGAAGGCAGGGTGGAAACAGGACTGAGATATGTGAGGTGGTGGATGTAGTCCAGAATCCAAGAGGAGGTAAAGTCCAGATGTCTTGCTGGACAGAATGTGTGTAGGGTGGACAGGATAGGGGATCCAGGAATGAGTTGGATATGGGGTCCGGAAATAGGTCCGGAAAGCGTGGGAATATGATAGTATCTATGTCTGGCATATGGGATATGACACTATGAGGACAAATGTGAAATCCTTAGGATTGTCTTGTCCCAAGCTAAGCATGTGGCAAAGGTTTTAGGCTTGCATGTCAGTAAAGCTTTCCAATTGGAGCACCCAGATTCCCTTCATCTGAACCTGGGGTTGTCAATGATGATGACAATGTCAGCAAGGCATCTGTGAAATCCAGGGCCAATGGATCTGGATCCCCCACTGGCAGTGGGGTTCTTGATCATGATGAAGACAATTCAATATATCCAGGAGCCTACATGGATTTTACTGAAAACCTTGGTGCTCATACTGAAGGATCATGCATGGCTACCACACCATAGGCTATTGGCCTTCTTATCATGGTAAGTGGTGTACATGTGTCCATTCATTATACCATGCTGATCAATTGATAAGGAATGTTGTAATACACATGTCGTTCTTTTATCATGGCCCCTTTCCTGATTCTATTGGTTTGTCATATGCACACTTTTTTTACATCCTTACCCCTTCATTTCTCTGCTTCTTTAACTCACAGTCACAAGTACATCATTGAGTCACAAGATGTATTGTTTGTTTTCATTTGTATTAGAATTGTAATTGATTGCTCTTTTCCCTCCCCCAGATGATTCTTCCTGTATGACTAGCAGATGTGCCCTGCAGTGCAAAGGTAAAATGATGATTCTGAAACCTGCTTGAGGGTCCAGTCTCAACCCTTCCCATGTATCTGTGGACATGCAGATCAATCTTCCTGATGAACAACCGCAACCTCCAATGACCAGCTTCAATCCACACCAGTAGGAGCCCCCCTTTGATGCACACAACCAGTAAGTCCACTTGTCTACTTCGTCATGTACCACTTAAATCTCTAGCAGGCCAAGTGACTATCTGGTAAGTGTTTCTTCTGCTTTCTCTCTTATCCTCCTTCCCTCTCTGACCTCTCCTTCTTCTAGCTCCGCATTTTTGACTATTAGGTAGTAAGTCTTTCTGTCTCTCTTTTTCTTCCTTCCTTCCTTCCATTCAATCATTTTCGCATTTTTGACTATTTGGTAAGTCTTTCTCTCTTCTTCTCCTTCCTCTTTGACCCTTTCCTTCTTCTAGCTCTTTTCCCTCCTCCCCCTCAATAATTTTCGCATTTTTGATTATTTGGCAAGTCTTTCTTGTGTTTTCACCTTTCTTTTCTGATTCTTCTTTCTAGCTATCTTACCTCTGCCTCCTGTAATTTTCGCATTTTTGCCTCCTTGGTAGTTAGTAGTTTACATGTGTTGTAGTAGTTACTTGAAATATAACTTGAAATTTTCGCTTTTTTTGGTTTTGAGAGCTACAATGGCAACAAAGTAGCTACCAAGATAGCTTGAAATGGGTCTGATGTTGGTCATCTATATAGTAGGATATAGTTACCATACTATTGTATGGTACTATAGCACACTATAGCACATTATATATTGCTGTAACTAGCCTACACAATTGGGCACTTGGTTATATGAGCTATGGCTCTATGGCCCCTATATAGCATCTTATAGTGCTATAGATTGCTATATAGCCATATCACATTTTCCTGATGCACAGGCCATTTAAACTATGGCTATTCAGGTCCCTCAAGTGCTAGCTTCTGTCATATGCCATTTCAGACTCTCAACTCTAAATCTGCTTCTCTGGATATCCAGATCTCCAATGATCTGATCTATCTTTATCTTCCTTCTGGAATCCAAACCCTATATCAGTGCCCAACCCCATTTAGACTTCCCCTGTCTCCAGACTCTGGTTAACTATGTTTCCTTCTGATTATTGATCCTGTTACATACATTTCATTTCCAGTGTTCATTATTTGTGATCTGTCCTACTTACTAATAGACTTTGCATATGTTTCATACATAGCCTTTATGTTTGCTGACTGATTCCTATATGATACCTACAGTATATAAACCTCCTGTAACTCTTAGAAATACTCCAGTTCGAATATCATCTTAGTTCCTGCTCATTCCTGTGTCCTCCAGACTCAAGCCAAGTCTCCTGTCATATTCTGAGTCTTAGGATTGCATCCTAGACTACATTTCCGACTCTACCTTAGGGTAGTCTATCCTCTGTTAGTTTCTAGTCCAGACTTCGTCTGGATTAGTCTTATCTGCTTGTCCAAGTAACATCTGGACATCTGTCAGATTTATCTCATGTTTCAGATCCAGACGTCCATTGTCTGCCCTAGTCAAATCCCAGAAACTCCAGACAACTGTTCTAGCCCCCGGAAATTAAGGGCACATACTCAGGAAAGGGGCACAGCACATGAGCTGAGGCCAAGCCCTTGTGATCTGACCCCCTTGAGCACGCAACCTTAACAGCTTCAACAGCTACATCAGCTATAGCAACTCACTGCCTAGTGCTGGCTACAGCAACTTGTTGTCTGGTGCCAGCTATGGCCCAGCTGGCGCTCCCTCAACCATCAACTACAATGCTCTCTTGTTCATCTCATGTATGTATTCTTTTGTTATTGAAAACTACCTCTAACAAATTTGTCACATTCAGCACCTGACCCATCAGACATAGTGCCAACCCCAGTGCCAGACCCAGTGCCCATAGTGCCAACCCAACTTACCAGACCCATACCCCATTGGCTGGGCAGCAATGCTGATGCTGAGTGTGCGCTGACATACAATCCAACAGTGGATGAAATACTGGCTTCCAATGTTATACATGTAAGTTTTTTCTTCTATAGCTCATGACACATTTTAATATTGTTACTAGACATTAGGTCCTGCAAGATCTTCTGAAAGACACTGACACTCCCAATGCATGCCCCCAATGCCATCATTGGCACCTTACTTCATACCTACACACTCAGTATGCACTCCCACTCCTGCAGCTACTACCAGCCTACTCTCACACTTGACATGCACTCCCACTCTCACAGCTACAGCTACTACCAGTCCATCCTTGGAGGCTGCAACATTGGTTGGTGGTGATGTCCAGCCCAAAGTTAGTGCAGCAGCCCACAAGCAAGTCCATAGCCTCTCAAGGGACAAGATCAAAGGCATTGTTTTTACCTCTAACACAATCACATCATCTTCCATGGACCAAAACCACATCATCACAGAAATGATCAATAAAGCAGTGCCCTCCATACCAAGCCTTTGTGGTAAGTTCACTGATGACTCTTGTAACTGATGCTGATTAAGAGGTAGGGCTAACTCAATGGCTGGCTGCCCAGAAGGACATTTCAATGATTTGGTGAGCAGTGATGGTGGTGTGCTCCATGATGATGACCATTGCACAGCAGAATATTGTGATGGCATACAACCTTCTTCCCCTGCATGATTGTGTTATTCCACCAGATCAATTTCGCATTGATTGAGTATGTTGTCTTGTTCAAGACAGTCCACATGCATATATGCATGATTATGCATTCACTGAAGTATGTTTTTTTCTTCTTCTTCAAATCACAATCCAACTAATCCTTAGGACAGGATGCTGATCATTCATTGGAAATGCCAAAACAAATTCATTTTTTTCCTTCTCCTCAAATTCATTTGGCTAATGAACTTCAAGCTTTGTTATGAACTAGGATAGTTAAGACAATAGCAGCTCAATAAGAGCAATGGCTAGAGTCGGTTCAAGACCTTGCAAATGCAAGGGTCATAAGACAAGGCAAGGAGAGTGTCCTCAACTTGAATATCAATGTTCAGATAACTTAAGATTGGAGGTCTTAAATGAAGGAAGTTCCAGGTAAAACCTAGTAAGATTAAGTGCAGAACTACAGTGTACCAGGTGAACTATATATAGTGAACTACAGGTGCTTTAGGGCAGGCATGGGATTGAAGATGAGTCAGAGATAGCAAGAATAGATCACCTAGCAATGGCGATAGTGATTGTGGTGTAATACAATGTGAGTCAGAGATAAGACAAGTCAGAGATAAGTCTAGTGGTGGCAATATGTAGCATGTGACATAATACAAGGTAAGGGTTAAGAGAAAATGAATAGGGGCATACGTCGACTGTAACATTACCCCTCGTTTAGCGACAAAGTCACCAACTTTAGTTATCCTGGTTAGCCCAGTAGACAGGGTCAGCGTCATAGTTAGAATCCAACAGGTCATCCTGCTCTTCAGTAATGGACAATTGACCAGCGATCATGTCATTATTCCATTGCAAGTCTTCAGCTATTTCTTCAGCATGGTAGATAGCATCCTGCTCAGTTTCCCAATGGGAGAGAGCTTCGTAAAAACCCAGATCAGTCCAGATCAATGGGATAACTGCTTCACCCTTCAAGTCTTTACAGAAGACCGATAAGTGACCAGGTGCATACTCCTTGCAAACTCAGCAATAATAGTCGGGGCATTTCTTATGATGATGGCCAGTGACATGGCAGCTACAACACACGACATTGTCAATGGTTTCTACTTTTACAGTGGTGACAGTGGAGGACTGCGGCAGTGGTGATGGGGATCTAGAGTGTCATTTGTGATTTCTAACAGTGGGTGAAATGGATGGTTCTCGCTTGACCTGAGATGATCTTTGTCTTGTGGGGTATCAGCGAGTAGTGGGCATGATGGGGGTAGGAGCAGGAGAAGCTGGTACGAAAGGTACAGCAGCAGGATTGAGAACACTATTTGTACACTCAATGGTAGGTGATGGAAGAACTGGCAGTGGGATGGGGATTGCAATGTGTGGAGATGGGGGTCATGCAACTGGGTTTGCAGTGATTCATTCAGTGATGATATGGATAGCCTCTCTGATAGCTTTTTTAGTACTAGAAGGCAACAGATGGATTGCAGTATTGCAAATGCATATATGAAGGTGGCAGAAGATGGTTTTGTGACAATCATCGTCAATGAGGTTAGCCATTTGCTCAATGAGACTGGCGGATCTGATGACATTGATGAGGAGTCCACTAGAGATTGCTCCAGTTTCTCCTAGGAGTTGATCTATCTCAATAGCATATTGTAGGGATGTGATGGCAGATTCAAAGAGGGTGTTGTTCTCAATTTCATTGAGGATAGTGAAGTAATCAATGAGGGACAAATCACTGGATAAAGTGGTTTCAGTCAAGGATGGGGAGGCAATGTTTTCAGAGGTGAGGTTCATAGCAGTGGTAAGGTGTTGAAGGTGGAGTAGGCAGTGTTGTAATCTTTCAAAGGAAGAGGTCATTGTTTTGGGGTTATAATCGGTGAGTTTTCTTATATGCAGAGAGGACGTCTGAGGCATTACTGAGATTCTCTTCTGGGATCCATTCATTGCTGGCAGAGGAATATCCTTTCCAGGATACCAGATAGCATCTTTGTGTACCCATGCCTTTATGTGATAGGATGGTGTCAATTTCATATTCTTCTTTGTTATCTATGATGTCTGGGGGAGGATCATGGAAGTTCAGACCATGGATTTCAGTTTTGTGATAGGAAGATAGCTCAGAAGCGTGGAATGTGGGATGAACCTTCCATTGTTCTGGTAGTTGGAGTGTGAATGTGATTGGGGAAAGTATGACTTTCACCATAAAGGGACCATATCGCTTTGGAGCAAGCTTCTTTGATGGTAGTTATGTGATAAGGTTCTTTCCTGACAACCAAACCTTATCACTGACCTTCCATGGTTGATACTTCTTTCCATATAATTGTGCAGCCATGTGCTGCATTGCCAGGTTATGGCAGGAGATAGCTTCTTCTCTTATCTTTTGTAGAAGGCAGAGTCGTTCTTCTGCAGTGAGAATGGTGGAATTGGGTAGAATGTGAGGTAGAGCTCTGGGCTCATATCCTATCATAAGGAAGAATGGTGATGTGTTGCAGGAGTCATGTTTCCGGTGGTTGTGGACAAATTCAGACATGAGAAGGTGTTCCACCCAATCTTTGAGATTATTGCAGCAATAGATATGAAGGTATGTTTCCAATTCTTGATTAAGGTGTTCCATTTGTCCATCAGTTTGTGGGTGATAAGTGGTGGATGTGGTGATATCATATTTCAAAAGCTTAGCAAGAGCTTTAGAAAACTTGGAGATGAACTGTGGCCTGTGGTCTGAGATGACTTTTTCATGGAGTCCAAAGTGGTGATAAACATATTTGAAAAACTTCTTTGTGACACCTTCTGAGGTGATGGTTTCTATACAGGGGATGAGAATTACCCCCTTCATAAGCCCATGGTCTACCATGACCATGATAGAATCAAAGCCAGTGCAAGGAGGGAGATCAGTGATAAGATCAACCAAGACTTGGGCAAAGGGTGTCATGGCAGCAGAGGGGATTGGCACAAGGGGAGGTGTTGTGGGGTGGGTATCAGATTTCATTTGCTGACAAAGGGTGCAACCTTTGACATATTTCTGAATATAGGTACCCATGGAAGGCCACCAAAAGTCATGTTTGACAAGTTCTTCTGTTTTGAAACAACCAGGATGGCCTGCAGTAGCATGATCATGAGTGCAGTCAAGAATAGCGCACTGTCCCACAGGGCAAACATATGTGTGATCTTTGTAATACAGGATATTGTTAAGAACCATGTTGCTCAAGGGGGAGAGAGACTGACTCAGAGGGGCTTGGCCTCAGCTCGTATGCTGTGCCCCTTACCTGAGTATGTGCCCTTCATTTCAGAGGAAGTCCGATGATGGTCCAATGAAGTCTGGAGGACTTCCAGAGGCTGGCTACTCTGGTGGAGAGTGTGGGAGGACTTCCGGAGGAGCGTGGGAAAGTTCTGGAGGAATGCAGGAAGTGCTCAGGAGAGTTCCCACTGCAAGGTAATACTTCTACAGGAAAACAGGATGGAAGGATAGGAGGTCCAGAAGGAATAGGGGCTACATCAGATGAAGTCTGATGCAGAAGCAAGCAGAGGTAGACTATCCTAAGGTAGAGTCAGAGGGACAGGAAGTGGACCTAAGTCCAGAAAGGGGGTAAGTGCCAGAAAGGCAAGACTCCAGCCTAGGGAAGCAATCCCTAGACTTGGGATAGAGACATAGGGGACAAATCCAAAGGTCTGGAATTCCGGCCTGGGGAATCCATCCCTAGGCCTTATGGAAAAGGACAAACTCAGATGGACTGAAGTCCGGAAGAAGATTGGGCAAGTCTAAGGTGATATTCAGACTAAGGAACTACAGGAGTACCTACAGGGGTTATATACTAAACAATATCTGAGGGGATCAGTAAGCAAAGGAGCAAGGCTATGTACGAGCATGTGGAAACACATTAGTAAGTAAGTCAGAACATAAGTAAATGAACCTGGAGATGAGGACTTGTACAAGGATCAATAAGCAAGATGGAACAAGAGGTAACTGAAAGCCGGAAGGCAGAGAATGCCTAAATGGGGATAGGCGCAGGATATTGGACAGAGGGTGGGAATAGGTCCGGAGTTAATATCCGGAGGTCCGGAGATCTGGGGATCTGGAAGACAAGGTGGATACAGGACTGGAATATGAGAAGGTGGATATAGTCTGGAATCTGAGACAAGGTGAAGTCCAGATGTCTTGCTGGATGGAGTGCGCATAGGGTGAACAGGATAGGGTTGTACGGATCAGGCTAGCAGTGAGGATCCAGAGGTCCGGAGCTCAGGGGTAAATCCGGAGCATAGTCGATCCTGCTGAGGTGTGGAGTACACAGCAGAAGGGGATCTGGGAATGAGTTGGATATAGGGTCCAGATGTAGGCTCGGAAGGCGTGGGAATATGATGGAATGTGGGTCCAGATTGTGGGATATGACAGATATCTTCTTTAATTGTCCAATCAGAGAGAGCTGACTTCATGGGAGGAAGGCAGAGGCCATTAAGTGCATCAGATGCAGCTTGAAAGATAGGATCAGTATCATCAGGGTCGGGATATGCAAGCATAGTCATGAGTTCTTGATCAAGGAGTTGGACAAACATGGAATCAGGGAGAAGAGTCATATCTTCGTTATCAGACTCAGTTGGAGCATGATCAGCATGCCACGACAAAGTGTTGGGTGCAGCGAGTTTCATTCCAGGGACATGATGGAGCTCAATATCATAACATGAAAGGGGGAGTTGCCATCTGGCTTGGCAACAAGTTAATTTTTGTGCAGTGCAAAAATAGAGGAGGTTCTTGTGATCAGTGAATATGATGACAGGGTGAGGGTTTCCTCTGAGATAGTGGCACCATTCTGTCAAGGCACAAATGACAGCCAATAATTCATGGTCAAAGATCTGGTAGTTTCATTCTGTGGGGTTCAAGGATTGAGATAAGTAACTGCAGGGATGGTAAACACCATTTTCATCAGTCTGAAGAAGGACTGCTCCTGTGGCTAC